ATAAGTCAGCTGCTGAGACCCTAGGCTACAGGAAGGCTAAGAATAAGTGCTTCTTCTCTAATGACCCTACTGTTGTTGCCCTAGTCGCAGAACGACACGATATACGCCTCGCCCTGGCAAGCACCAACAAGCCCTGTGATAGCTCTGTACTGCGAGGACGGAGAAATAAGCTCGGTAAAGACATCAAAAAGAGACTGAAGGAGCTAGAGTGTGCTAAGGCTGACCAGTTAGCTGAAGAAATTTCATCAACTGACAACACGCGTCAAATGTTCGAAGCTGTGAGATCCTTAGCTAAGACCAAAGAGACAAAGCCTATAGTTGTCCACAATAAGGATGGGTACCCCATTGGTACAGACCTCGCTAAAGCTGAAGTACTCCGCGATTGGTATGAAGAACAGCTGACTGGAGATGAACCTGCCCTTGATCCGTTTGAAGGTCCCCCTTCTCCCCTCGACTGCCCTATCACAGAATATGAGGTAAAAACCGCTGCTAAACGCCTCAAGAACGGCAAAGCCAATGGACCTGACAATACCCCCAATGAGCTCCTCAAGTATGGTGGGAGTGCGCTATGTGTCCATTACGCCAAAATCATCAACACCTACTTTGAAGAGAACCTGTTCCTTGACGCTGTCGGAGAATGTTTCATCACCCCTCTTCAAAAGCCTGGCAAGACTCCTGGTGAACTGAAAAGCCTCAGACCCCTGACATTATGTAACTGTGCTCGTAAGCTGCTATCCCTCATTACACTCAGGAGAATTGAAGCAAAGGTAGACGCTTACACAGGTCCACGGCAAGCTGCCTACAAGCAGAAGAGAAGCTGTGGAGACCTGGTATGGTGTCACCGTATGTTGATCAGCATCGTAAAAGAAAGAGAGTGGTCTTTCCACAAGATGGGCCTAGACATGTCCAGTGCCTTCGATACTATCAGTAGGCAGACTGTGCTCAACCTCCTAGAGGACGCAGGGTGCACAAGAGATGAGATCAGACTATATAGTGACAAGTCACTATAAAGTGCTTGTCATTATATAGTGTTGTCATTATATAGTGCGGGAATCATCTTCTTCAGGCATGCCGCTAGGACTAATCCTAGTGAGATTCCTCCTGAGCAACACCAAGATCAAGGTGCGAGTCAACAACGCTACCTCCCTTGAATTCATCAGCACCAATGGAGGACCCCAAGGTGATAGTGTTTCAGGCCTCTGTTTCACAATCACTCTAGCAGCAGCCTCTCGAAGATGGTACGAACAGCACGAGTGGCTGCTACTTCCACTTCAAACAGGAGGAACTTCGCTCGCTTCGACCTTGTTCCTAAAAGTAGAATTAAAGAAAAGTAAGGAAAAGTCGATATAAGATAAACTTGTCACTATATAGTGTTGTCATTATATAGTGCGTTTTGCAGACTATATAATGACAAAGATCAGCTGTCATTATAAAGTGCTTGTCATTATATAGTGTTGTCATTATATAGTGTGATTACCGAAGAAGATGCCTACTCTGATGACATCGACTATCTTGGTGAAGACAAAGATGCTCTAGAAGCCCTCCTCCCTGTCGCTACTAAGGTGTTCAAAGAGTGGAATCTGAATATTAATGAATCAAAGACAGAGTTTGTACACGTCTACATAGCTGGGAAAGATGAGGTCATGGATGATGGTAAACCCCTTAGAATGAATGAAGAATGGTGCAGTAGCAAGTTGTTGGGTTCTCTGCTAGAAAGTAGGAAAGATGTCACCAGAAGAATCATGTTAGCCAATGTAGCATTCCAGAACTTCAAGAAGGTCTGGTGCCAGAGTAAGATCCCCCTACAGAAGAAGCTGAAGGTCTATGAGGCCCAAGTAGTATCTATCCTCATGTATAACTCTAGTTGCTGGGGAATGCCTAAATCGTACTGGGACAAACTAGATGCATGTCACCGTAACCACCTCAGAAAGATCATGAATGTCAGCTGGCCATGCAGTATGATGTCCAAAGATACCCTATACAAACAGAGTAACTCTACCCCTATGTCTGAGCGTGCTGAGTTATCTAGGTGGAAGATGCTAGGACACATACTGAGGAGCGATGAAAGATCACCAGCTCAAGCTGCGCTGTGCTTTGCTGTCGAGATGTGTAGTGAAGTCGGTAGACTCGGGGCTCACAGACGTAACCTCCTACACCACCTGAAGGTTGACCTCTGGAAGCGTTTCATCTTGCTGGAGTCGTATGATGATATTCTTCATTTGAGAGAACTTGCTAGTAACCGTGGTTATTGGAGTAAATTGTTCGACTTTATACTTGAATACAAGTCAATTTGACTTTTGGGACATATAATCTTACAAAGGATCACGTTTAGGTTCTAAATTATTTTAGGATTGTTGACATTTGTAAGATTGACATGTTTGATAATAATTAGGTTACTATACCGTTTAGGTTACAATACTGTTTAGGTCACTGTTAAGGTTACTGTTTCACACATAAAGATCGGTATTAAATAAGCTGAAAAGCTAAAAATCATGGCTAATTATAGGCTTATTATTGGCAGTTGCTGCTTTTTTATGTAAACTTTGTAGTTAAGGGGGCCGGGGGGGGGGGGGGGGGGGTCTTCATCAAAATTATCTCGAAATCGACTTTATAGTTGTTTCTGATAGAGGGGAGTGATATCTATCAGCTGCTTTTAGTCCCATGGAAAAATATTGTTCCTAGCCGAAATTATCGCTGGTCAAAGGTCAGCGCTTATGTGTAATTGTATTGCGCGAGCGATTTTCAATCGCGCGTTCTGAAAATCGAGTCTAAAAATCTATCTTCTCCTACATTTTTTGAGCAATCACCCTCAAACTTTCAGGATATGTTCTTTGGATCAGTAAGAAGAGAACTCTAGAGCCAGAATTTTGAGATAGGCCTTTAAAGATTTTTAATCCGATTTTGAAATTCTTGGACCTCTAAAAATTAAGGTCCAAGAATTTCAAAATCGAATTAAAAATCTTTAAAGGCCTATCTCAAAATTCTGGCTCTAGAGTTCTCTTCTTACTGATCCTAAGAACATATCCTGAAAGTTTGAGGGTGATTGCTCAAAAAATGTAGGATGAGATAGATTTTTAGACTCGATTTTCAGAACGCGCGATTGAAAATCGCTCGCGCAATACAATTACACATAAGCGCTGACCTTTGACCAGCGATAATTTCGGCTAGGAACAATATTTTTCCATGGGACCAAAAGCAGCTGAAAGATATCACTCCCCTCTATCAGAAACAACTATGAAGTCGATTTCGAGAGAATTTTGTGAAGACCCCCCCCGGCCCCCTTAAGCTATATAGTACAGGGAACAAGAAGGAATCTCAATTTAGCCTCAACATTAAAATACACTGGCACAGGTATAATACTCACAAAGAAGCAGGTAATGCCCTTCTGCCACTTGGGGGCATCCCACTGAGTAGCTGCGTTACCCCCACTAGCTCTAGATTTAGCTTTACCCGCTCTACCAGGAGAGAAAACAGAGGAGACAGCTGCACTGGAGGAGGAGGAGGAGGAGCAGCCTACTGATTTCCGGGGAGCTTTAGCTGCTACCGCTGGGAGGGGATGGAGGTTTTAGGAGAGGTTTTGTGGGTTATTTGCTTTTTAATATAAAGAGTTCTATACTTGGAAGATAATGATTCATAATCGTCTCAGTTAAAAGTGTGAACCAGCCTTTTACACGGAATTGTGTGAAAGTGATTTGAGAACTGAGTAAAGTGGCACACATCCATTTTGAAGGGTATGTTCTATAATATTGTAGTGAAGGTAATATATCTGATGTACAAGTCTGTTATAATATCATTTCTTAAAAAGTGGCCTTTTGAGGTGAACATGACATCGCTGTTCTCATGTGCATGCCCTGTTGTTAGTAAAGACGATGTGAGTATGTGACAATGATTTCAAAGCGCTGACGGTGTTCACTAACAAACCAACATTCGCCTCATGAAACCCAAACTAATGAACACGTAACCACGTAACATGTAGTTATTGACATGATAACTATGTGACCAGCCTGCATTAGTGATGGAGCTTTGATGTTATTACCTTTGCGTTGCCCTCCTGCCATAGTCCTGACCATTTTGTCTTGATTTCCTTCCTAAAAATTGTAAATTAGTTAATAGTCAGTGTAAGTTTTATCACAAGAGTTATACACAATTACATTGACATTGTGTTAATATTTCTCTAAATTGTATAATATTTAACCCAGAAATTACCATCACCAACACGCCAAGAGGGGCTATTATAATTGAAATAATCCTAGAAACTGGGGACCGTAATTTCACATTATTTACTGCACAAACTCCAATGTTTATTTCAGCGTGTTCAGCCATCCGTGAAATTTAAGTAAACTATTTCACCACTGATATAGTTCTCAGTCCCCACAGTTACTTTCAGCAATTACCATATATTGAGTGATGATCAAACAAATTCCGCTAATTCCGCCTGGAAAGATGGCAGACCAAACACATGAGATAAAGGGTGGTGTGCAATGTTCATTTGTTAGCTCTCTTTGCAGCACTTTAAAGGGTGGTGTGCAATGTTAGCACTAGCGGCAGCAGCACTCGGCTCTTTGCAGCACTTTAAAGGGTGGGACTTTCTGCTTGATCCGCTGTGGATCCCTAGTTATTATTATCTCTAGTTATTAGTTGTGGTGTACGTCTATTGATTATTCTAGCAGAGTTTCTGTAAGGTGCCATTGTTACGCAATGAGCCAGGAGCCTTTACTGTATTAACTTAACTTGTTTTAAACTTAATATTATTTGTCGTGTTAACTGTTAATATAATGAAGTTGTAATAGAGCCGCTCCGCCCTTTGGTTGCGAATTCCATTACAAAATCAATCACATGGATTAAAAGTTAGTGACCAGATGTTGAATTTCGGCCGAGTGATCTGAGAAACGTTCAGACTTGACAGACTTCTAGCAATTTAACTTTCATTATTTTCTAGTCGTATTGCGTGACTTGGAGAAGTTAGAATGTTGACTGTCAGAAAAACTTGAAACAGATGTGCCCATGGCCATAACGGATCGTATATTCTACAGCTTTTAGTCTGATATTCTATCAACTGTGGCACTTATTGATTTCTTACTAATTATTTTATCTGCATAAACTCACAGCAGCAATGAGATACGCTATCTTCACCATACTCTTAGCAACCCTCCTACACGTCGCTACTTCCAACCCTCAATGCAGTAAGAAAAGCCTCAAGTGTAGGAGCACACTGGCAAGGAACTATATGGGATGTCTAGTGAAGGGGTTCAAGTCTAAACGTCATTGCCAGCCTCCTACAGTAATGAACCTGCCTTTTGAATCAGACTGTTGCACGGTGAGTCAACTTATTATCTACGATTTATCTATTTCATTATTTAGATCTAGTAAATCATTTTATAACGTTACAGCTAAACTACGAAAATTCAAGTTTACATTTTCCTTATTTGCTAACTTTTGTTGAACTGTTCCAATTTATTCAATTTATTGAACATCAAGGCAAATTTGCTAACTCTCATATCAATCCCAGATCATTGAGAAGAAACTGTTCAAGTGTATGGACAAAGGACAGGTTACGTTTAACTGCAACGCCTACAAGGATGAGAAAGAAGATTATTAATCTTAGAAGATATCCCAAGCAGAGTTTAAAGTAGTATCACCTTGCCATGATCTTAAACTGGAAATTGTGAGACTTGCTGGAAATGTGATTCAATTGTTACAACTTTATTTAATATTTTGACTCGTTTATTAAATGGTTTTCAGTGTTACACAATATGATATTTTTTAACAATTGCATTTAATAGACAATGTATCGCATTTTTATTTTTATGGCCTTATAATAATTGATAAGAATTCAGGAATTTTTGCCGTTCTTGCTCCTAAAATTTCACTAATTCAACAATTAAATTCTTACTGTTTTCAAAAAAACCTCCAGCCATCTGAGAATTTCTCAAAACTCAAAAAATTAAAAATGAAGCATAAAATGTCTCATGATTCACCAATTCCGGCAATATTAACAACCGATCGCGATGAAGCGTATCACAGTCACCATCTGGTTGTAAACATGACGATATCTTATAAGGCACGTGACACTCTCATACGTAAAACTAAATTGCGTAGCTCAACCGCCAGCTGCACTATTGGAGATATTATTTTTCCAAGTCGTTCATTTCAGTGCACAATTTGTTTTGTTAGCGGTAGCACACATATCTTTTATCTTCATTATTCTATTCTACATTTTAAAGACTCTAACTGCAGTGATCTTAGGAATAAGGTTGCTTTTCGCGAGATAACGTTTGGTTAAAGATGGTTATTGATCTTTATAGTGCCATTCATCTGTATTTGCTTACTAAACACATTTGTGTTGCACAAGTTAAATAATTGAAATACAATTTCGTAATATCGATACAATCGAACCCTAATTTATGGTGCCTTGATTCACCGTGAACCTCGATTTATCGGGAAACTCTGCTAGTCTTCTTACCGCCTCTAGTCTTAATATCCGAAGAGTACTGGTACAGTTAGTGTATCTTAATTCGTCAATAAGTTTTAATTTAGACTTGATAATCACAGGTGCCTAGCGGCTAGCAATGAACCAAGCTATCTTCATCCTGCTTGTAGCTGTAATGTTACACACCGCTATATCCAACTCACAATGCAGTAATAGCAACCTCAAGTGTAAGAGCACACTGGCTAGGAACTATATGGGATGTCTAGTGAAGGGGTTCAAGTCTAAGCAAAAGTGCCAGCCTACTACTGTAATGGACCTGCCCTACGATACAGAGTGTTGCACGGTGAGTTTGTTTGATATCTAGATGTTGTGGTGTACACTTCACTGTTTAGTTACGGGGTTGACATTCCATGGAAAGTAACATTTGTATCTTTATAGTTGCCATATTGTGGTTGTTTTGATGACTTGTCTAAATGCTAAAGTGACATTTACAATACAAGTTTTATTCTGCGATCATCTTACAATAAATTTCAATTTTACATATTTTAAGATTAGAAATCCGCTGACTTTCCGAACCATTTCAGATGATAGAAAAGAAGCTGTTCAAGTGTGTAAAACAAGGAAAAGTTGATTTTGATTGCAAGAAGTACAGAGATGCCAAAGAAGACATCTCAAACCAAATTTAAAATTTCCTAGCTTTTAACCATGAACATTGAAAATGTAACGAGAAACTCCTAGGCATTTGAGATTAGATTGTAATTATTTGAGATCTTTTTAAAATGATTTAAGTTATTCCAAAATGAAATGTTCATCGTTCATACAGGCTCCTCTCTGCACTCATGTCAATAAGTTTTATTTACAATATCGATAGCCAGGTTATTCCTTTACCATTCGTATTACTTCTATACGAACAAAGGCAAAGATTCGGGAAGAGGTTCGAATCAAAAATTCAAATTCAGCATAACCGATCACGAGGGGAGTATCCAATGGTGAAAGATTGTGAAAAAAATTGGGTTTCTCTCAAGAGTGAATTCTCATATGTTTATTAAGATTACTCGCTTGTTTTGTAGCAAATGAACACTCAGAACATTTGAAGGGTTTCTCACCTGAGTGAGTTCTCATATGTATAGTAAGATTACTTGCTTGTTTTGCAGCAAATGAACACTCAGAACACTTGAAGGGTTTCTCTCCAGAGTGTGTTCTCATATGTCTAATAAGATCACCTGCTTGTCTTGCAGCAAATGAACACTCGGAACATTTGAAGGGTTTCTCACCTGAGTGAGTTCTCATATGTACAGTAAGATGACTTGCATGTTTTGCAGCATATGAACAATGAGAACACTTGAAGGGTTTCTCACCTGAGTGAGTTCTCATATGTACAGTGAGATGACCTGCTAGTCTTGTAGCATATGAACACTCTGAACACTTGAAGGGTTTCTCACCTGAGTGAGTTCTCATATGTCTAGTAAGATGACCTGCATGTTTTGCAGCAAATGAACACTCTGAACATTTGAATGGTCTCACAGGCGGAATCTTACTAGGAGACAGAGCTAACGTCCTCTGAGGATCTGTTCCACTCAAGTTATCTGAAGTATCAAAGTAGTCAGGTACTACTGGGCTGCTATGATCATGGTGCTGCCTTACATGTTCTATTAACTGAGTGTCTGAGTAAACATGTTCAGCACAAACTGGACAGATAAAAATAGATGGTTCATCTGATTCAGTTTTCAGTTCTTGTTTTATTGTACAGTTTGAATATGTATTATGTTCTTTGATGTGCTCAACAAAGTAGTCTTCTGAAAAGTAATGTGCTCCACACATTGGGCAGAGGAAACCGTTTGACTTTTTTGGGTTCTCCACTTGCTCTGATTTGATCTCTTGCTTATAGTCTTGAGACATTCTGAGGTATTGAAATATAAGAGATATATAAAACTTACATTTATTTTAAATTCGATCATGAAGGAATTTGGAATTGATAGTTATGTGCATTATCCAATGAAAATCACAAATATTTGCCCAGTTAAACCGGGGGTATCCAATGCAAATGGTGAAAAATGGTGTAAAATGGTGAATGATTTGTATGGTGAATCGGTTTTCCAAATTGTAAAATTTCACCATTTTTCACCATTTTTCACCATTGGATACCCCCCGATCACGAGGAACAAAGTTTAGGACCTAATGGCAATGCATTTCATATAAAATTCTGGCTCGAGGTGAGCTTAAAAGTATTTCATATTATGTTTTATTCCTATTCTTATTTCATCAACTGCAACCCGATGTCAAGCTGTGAATTTCCCAGATCAGAGGGTATGGTTAAATAAAAAATGAATCAATAACAATACTGCAGATGACAAACAATAAATATCGTACCATCATGTTTCTTCAATTTCAACAAATAAAAATTTGAACTGACCTGATGCGGACCTCGTTATAAAAACCTTTCTAAAATAAACATCATTAACAGCCGCACTTTCAAAGATATCTGATTTATAAGCTCCTAATCCATAAATTATTCAAGTATGAAAATAAATTCGCCCAAGCTCTTTTCAAAAAAGCGAAAATCAAAAAAGGAACTGATAAATAGGAGGAAACTGCTCCTGGCTCCAGCAGATCAGAAATTTAAACGGAGCAAAGTGATAGCCTACCCGATATTAAGCAGAGTGCAGTAATCAACTCTTTATCTCCAAACAAAGCAGCAATTTCAAAACACCAGCCGCCTCTAACAGTTGACTAAATAAACAAGTGCTGACTTAACATCCCCCTTGTGATCTCTCAAACACTTCTCAGCAACAGTAACAGAGACCATCATCTCACTTGCTATCATATCAATATCTTCTTTATTCAGTTTTATCTTGATCTGTGCCTCTGCGTTGTTGTGGTTGCTGATCAGCATGGAAGTATCGATGGCACCAACATCCACTTCTTCGTCTCGGAAGTCTCTGATTCCTTCGAGGTCAGATCTGCCGGCGTCGTGCTGTTTTGGTTTTGCTTGTCTGACGGCGTTGTCTTCTTCGTCGTCACTGGCATGGTCGGCCGGCCGTTCGTTTGCCATGTCTAGTGTTTTTAGTTCAATTAGCGACTGTCGAACTTGCAAATATAGGCTAATTAAATTTAGCCTGACCTAAAATTCCAAAAGTTTAACGTGAAAGAAATGGAAGTGTCTATTTGGACTTTGGTAACGGTATGGTCTATAGATAACATAACAAAATCCTAGCATTTCGTCGACTCGAAAAGTATCAAAAACACAAATTTTGAAATTAAATATTGTATAAATTAACATAAATATCAAAAATTCAGTACAATATAATTCTGCTAGCAGAATCTTCAAAGAACGTAAAATATCAACTAGGTTAAAATTACCCCGATTTAACCATGCACAATTTAAAGCGTGAGCTTCCACCGCGTCGTGAATCATTTATCTGTTCATAAAAATTAACCTTAAACAGCATAATCTTTCCCGCAGTGGATAATCGAGCTCGACATAATCACGGCCTTAAAACTTTAAAAATGTTCACTGCTTCTATTTTTATAGTGAGGCAGTAAAATCCACACCAAACCACTCTGGACATGTTATCTTGAAATGGCAAAAAATACTTTCAGGGACCAAGGTATTGATAAATAAGTTAGAACTGAAAAGCGTTCAATTAAAAAGTTAAAAGAATCTCTGCCATTGTAGAGTGTTTCCAATTTAAATAAGCCTCTGAGATCACTTAAAATAAGTATAACACCCTCTCCCCGCTTTATTTATTCTTCTAAAACACCAAGTTCATATCAATTATCACAGTAATAGTAATAGTAATATTATCATAGGCATCATGTAGCCTCCAGGCTCGACAAACCCCGACAAACCCCGACATATCCCGACAAACGGGGTTTGTCGAGGGGTTTTGCCTCGTGTCCACTGGCTACATGAGGCCTTCTTGTATAGTGTTTTTCCACGTAAAGCTTGATGACTCCGTCTCGGCTTTTTGTTGGGAGACTCAAAAAAAAAAAAGAAAAAAAAAAAAAGCCTCCAGGCTCAACAAACCGGAAACCCCGTCAAACCCCGTCAAAGCCTGACAAACCCCGACAAACCCCGACAAACCCTGACAAATCCCGACAAACCCCGACGTGTCAAGATATGTCGTATCATGTCGGGCCCACCGGCTACATGATGCCTTATCATATCAAGGGCCATGGCCAATCTAAAATCAAGGCACCCCAAGTCTCACAAATATACACCGTGTATTGGAATATGGAAGAATGTCTATTGTTCCTTACTTGGCATGGTTAACGAATGACGGTTACATACTTATTAAAAGCTGTTAGCTATTATGGGTATTATACATCTATACTTATTAAAAGCAGCTGTTAGCTATTATAATGAGTATTATATGTACATCTAGCACTTCAGATTGTTCACATGAGGAGCAGTATGTTCTAGTGAGGGTGAGGGTGAGAAACAATAGTTAATGAGTTCTCTATACTCTAGATAGTTTGCATTGCGTGGTCATTAATTGTGTTACGAGCTAAATTGTGGCATTATTGAGCGATTCCTAATCGAGCGCTTTATAAATCTGAAGTTGTTATTCAACCAATTAGTTAATCGACTAATTGTATCTAGGATCGTTGAGACACAACTCTGCGTGGTTTCTAAGGTTGTGGAGGTGGTCTAGGGAGGCGGTGAAGAAACCCCGTATCGTGTTCAGTTCCAGCACTGTTATGTTGTTTATCTGCGGCGGGGTACGAAATTACTGGCGAGATTAAAAGATTAAAAGATTACTGGCGAGATCACTGGCAAGATCACTGGCGAGATTAAAAGATTAAAAGATAACTGGCGATGGTCCTAATTGTAAATATTTGAAAATAGTGCTCTGAAATACATTTTACCTTCGGCAAATTAAGTCATTATACGCAAGTATAATATTGTAAAATCAATGATATTTAATTGTCTATAATATCGTGCGCTGTGTCTACACCATTGTTATTTCAACGTTCCAAATGCTGGTATAATATCAATAACAGGTAACCTATACCTCCACATGTGTGAGCGGTTTCCCGCCTCCTCCGTCGTGGTTTATCATCTTGTTTACACTCTTCCTTAACTTGGCTGCCCTAACATCCCAGATATCTTTTATTAGAGTCCGTACTTCGTCAGCATCTTTCACCTCATCCGATATTCTGCGGAGGGGGGAAGAGTTTTAGTCTTGTGCAGATGTTCACTATAACTAAACAGTAAACATTGAAACGCCGTTTCCATTTTTACTATTTCAATGAAACGTTCTATAAATTACAGCTGAATAAACGGACGTATTTCAATTCACCACACCTCTTCATGGGAAACTATGCGTTAGTGAATTAAGTTAAATCACACATCAAAAAGACGAGATCAAGGATGTGATAATCACATTAAATAACACGTATCTAGATAGTTGTAACTAGTCTTGTAACTAGTCTTGTTACTAGTCTTGCAGCTAGTCTTGCAGCTCACCCGAGAATAATAGTGCTGAGTTCCAGAAAGTGAGGGTGTAATGGTATTGAAAATAAGTGTCCTTCAAGTTCCTCCGCTTTCTTTTCTTTCAGTAGCTCTGAAAATAATTACAGATCACAGTCAGTCTCATTAATTGTGCTGATCACCAGTATAATTGAACTATGTAGCCATTATTTATTAAATTACTTAAAACTGAAATAAACCAAGGTTTTATTGCATAAAAGTAGTGATTATCATGGTCTCACCTACATCCATCCACTCAGGAGTTATAATCCTGCATTTCTGTCTCTGCTTCAGATTAGCAGCTAACCACAGTGGCACTTCCACCGGTACTTGGGGCTGAAACGGGCCGACTTCTCCCTGAGTTAACATTGTGCTATAAATAGATTTATAAATCATATAAATATTTATAGAAATATACAAATAAGCAGCTGAGTGATGTGAGTAATATTCTATTTTTATAGATATTCTGATTTTTAGGTTCTCGAGAGACGAGCCTACTTGCTCAACATATAAGGTCAAATAGATTTGGGAGGGTATATATTAAATAACTCATCAGTATTTAAGCTAGGTACTAACTAATAATAACTTATTTTTAAGATAAATTATCATTAATACAACTCACGCTGATTAGATAGAGTTTGTCCTCGGTAAAGTTTGGTAATATCGAGATGCTTTCCTTCTCTGATATAAATTCGATCTGGGCTGGATCCATAAAACTTGAGGGAATAGTCGATATAAATTACAAATGAACTCAGATTTTGAGTTGAAACACATAGAAAGAGAGAGAGTGAGGAACGTTGAAAAATGTATCTTGGAATTATGTGTATGTTTTAACACAATTATGACAGACGAATATAGGAATGACATTTTAAATCACATACTTGCACTCATTATCTTCATTCATTGCAACAACAACTGACATGATCATTTTGTAGAATGAGACAGCCACAGACCGAAATAAAAGTGCATATAAAAACCTGTCGTCACCATAAAACTGATATCCCAGAAAGGATAGTTTGATAAAGTTTAATAAATTAACCACCGACCTAAAACGCTGAAAACAACTAAAACTTACACTAATGTTAAAAGAAATTCAAGAAATACAAAGAATTTCACACAAATAACTGTGCTTCCTCGACTTCTTCTAGTTGCTGATTAGCGTTTTTCAAATACTCCAAAATCAACTTCCTCTCCTCAGCCTCTTCATTAGGCATAGATTCGGATAGTTTGTGACCTTTAGTTATCAATATTTGAAGGATGGATTTCAAGGACTGAAGATGTTGAGTGTACGTGGGAGAATCTTTTGCTTCTGCTATGACGTACTTATGAAGAACTTTGGAGCACTCAGTACACTTCAAGAAGTCTTCCATTGACTTCTCAATGTGCAAAGAAGCTGAATGATATGCTTTGATAAGGTAACCGATACCCATACCAACATCCTCTCTACCATCAACATCAAGGTACATGGCAGCATAAGACCTCCAGAGATCAAAGCTTGTTGTGACTTTTGAGCTAGCAAATTTGAAGAGATCTATAATCTTGTCGTAGTACCTGATTCCTTCTTCCCCAGATACTGACGTCATATTATCTCTAACTGCAGACACGAGACTATTCAGTATTATTTCATCACAGTACTTCTGTCCGGTTGTTATGATTTGCCGATAAGCAAATATCATGCTTGCAAAATCTTTTATCTGAGCTGCAGCAGTCAGGAAATTCTCCCAAACTCTCCAGTTGTTAAAAGATCGCCGTGTAGCCTCTTTGAAACAGCTGAAAGCTTTACGCAACTGTCCTGTTTTCTGAAAGCAAGCTCCCAGGTTGCTCCAAGCTTCAGAATACTCGTCATCTATATGTAGAGAGGTCTGGAAACACTTGATGGCAGTCTCAAATTCTGGTATGGCAAGAGCTGTGCATCCAGCTGTGAACCACAAACCTCCCTGCAAATAGTTGCATTCCAGAGAATTCTGCATGCAGACTAAAGCCCTCCGGTACTCCTTGATGTTAAAATAGTGATATCCCAGGGACTTCATGGCTCTAGCTGACGACTCTCCTGACAGTTCCCAGGCTCTCTCGTAATGAGTGATGTCTTGAGTTGTGTCCCCTAGGATGCAATACAATTTGGGGGTTTCACCTTGAGCAATTAGTGATCTAGTCAGCTTCTCAGCAGCCTCATATCTTCCAGCTCCAATCAGAGAGTTTATCTGCTCCTCTCTCAATTGCAACTTCTCATAAAGATCTAAAGCACTTTTGTGGGACCCAATACCTGAGTACATCTCTGCAAGTACTTTTTGTTGTTTCCACATTGGAGGAAGTCCAGATTGGAATAGACTCCCTGTTCTCGAGCAAACCTTTTTACAGTCGAACCCCAGAACCACTTCTTCCAACTGTTCCATGCAACGGCTGAGCCTTCGAATGGATGTTTTTTCAAGTTTGCTCCTCAGAAAGTAAGCATGTGTGGCAATGCAATATGAAAATGTCCTTCCTTCTATGATTCCCTCAAGAAAGGCTATCACTTCCTCACGTAACATGTCTTCCATGGCAAAGTCCTTCAACTTGAGTGAGGCCATGTGCAACAAAAATGGAGCAGTCAGGTTTGAGACCGAGTTCCTAATATTTTCGTCCTCGAATGAGATTTTGTCCAGCAAAGTGTCGTCATTTAAATCAATGATCTGAGGTTCATTCTCTAAAGGAGTCACATCGACAACGTTTTCCTCAATGATGGTCTCAACTCTAAGTTGCGCTAAAGCTGTCTCCTGATATTTCGTTCTTTTTCCTAAGGCACCAGTGAGTTTGAAGCTGAAACTAATCAGCTTCTTAGCCATCTCCATATACCTCCGTGATTTCGAAATGTGCTGAAAGTTTAGATATACAAATCCAAACTCAACCAAAATCTTGCATCGAACCTCTTTTGGTAATGCGGCAAATTCGCTATGATCCTCTATAATGCTAATAAGTTTTTCGATGTTATTAAAGAGATCTGGAGATAAAATCATCCATCAACATTTGCTCGATGAATTTTGCTTCGTTTTTTTAAACGTTGATTGGTCAAACAATGAATAATTTTGGGGAAATAAAAAAATAGTCACGACACAGTTTTTTTAAAAAACCCTTGGGCCCTTTGGGCTAAAGGTTACTTTGGCATTTTTTAAGGGTTTATCAAAACGTTTAGGGCAGCTAAATCCTCATCTTCAATTGACTTTAAGAAGTTTTTGCAAAAAGCAGAGGCCCCAGAAAAGGGTTATTCGAAAAAAAAACTTTTCAGGGCAAAACCCCCCAACATAATTTCCAGGGTTTCCGATTTCCCGGTTTTTTAAAAAAACCCAAAAATTTTTGGGCCCTTTAACCCAAGAGATCATCTTCAACCTTGCAGATTTTGTTTCCCATTAGTTCCCAGTAAGCACCCGTTTTTTTTTTCGGGAGAATTTCATTGTCCTTTTAACTCGGGGGAAAAAAAAAAGGGGAAAAACTGTGTCCTTTGAAAAGAAAGGAAAAAATTAAACGGGGAGAATTAATTTAATTTTCCCTTTTTTAAAAAGAAAAATTTGGTGAATATTTTGCAAGGGGACCCTTGATGTTTATTTTAAACATTTGATATTTTTTTTGGGACGTTTGGGGAATGACGATAGATTTTTTTTAAGGGGGATTTATAAACCCCCCTTTCCTTAAAAAAACTGCTCCCATTTCAATCAAATAGGTACCATTAAAACTTTGCAGGGACGGGTGTGCCCTTATGTTATTTTAATTTAAAAACAGAAAACCCAAAGATTCCCGGGGAACGGGGCCCAATTTTGGGGCCCTTAAGGGTATCAAAAAAAAGCCAAATTTGGGGATTTCTCCAAAAGTTAATTGGGAAAGCCATACAAAGTGCCAAAAGGGGCCCCCCCATTACCAGGGGAACTCCCGAACAGTTGGTCATTCACTGAAGAAATTTTTCCCTGGGAAAGCGTTGGGTTGTTCTCTGTTAGCCCCTTCCCACAGTTTTAGCCTCACGTCGTGGGACAGTTATCCAAGGGAGTGAGTTTGGCCCTTTAAAAGGGAAAGGCTCCTTTAGAAAGCTACCTTTCAGGGCCCAAATCAAGAGAAAAGATCCGCCCCTAAAAAGAAAAACCCCAAATTTCCCTTTGGGCAGGAACCACGTCAAAAATTGGGGGACCCCCCAACCTTGGCCTTTAGAAAGAATTATGTCCCCCACTATTTTTTTGGGGCGGGGAGGGAACAGGGAAGCAGTCAGAGGAGGTTGGGTTGGAATCCTTACTGAAAAAACCCAAGTCTGGCAGCATAGGAAAATTTTCCAAAACGAAAAAGTTTTTCCCCCCCCCCCCCGGGTTTGATTTGTTTTTCTGGGAAACCCGATCAGGCAAAAAACCCATTTTTGGGAAACATGTTTTTAAAATTTTTTTTGGGAAACCCCCTTGGGTTTAAGGAGATCGAGGTTTCTTTTTTGGAAAACGTTTACCCCAGGGGAAGGGCAGAGGGCAAATTTATTACCCAATCGGGAAAAACCAGAGGAAACAAAGATGAAAAAGCCCTGTTCTCGGTTCAAAAAAGCCCAAAATACGGTCCCCCAATGAAAAAATTTCTAAAAGTGTATGGTCTGGGATTGGGGTTCCACTTTTGCGGGGAAAATTGATAAGAGGGGAAAAGTTGCAGTTTGGGGCCCCCAAAAAGCAGACCCGGGGTGATGGCCAAAAACCTTAGTTTTAAAGGGAAGAGATACAAGTAAGGTTTTGGAAGGGAATTTTCTTGCTAACCCTTTGGTTTTTGGGGGGGGGGGGAACAAAAACCCAAGGGTGAGCAAACGTATGATAGTTTGGGTTATTTGTCAGTCTTTACTCTGGAAGTTTTAATTAAAATCATCTTCCTAAATTAAAATAGCTGCCCGAATCGGATAAAATTCCCAAAAAAAGTTGGTGAAAATGAAGCAAAATTTTTTAAAAAATCCCCCCCAAAGAGTTTCTTGAAAACCCGAGGCGGGTTTTTTGAAAAATTTTTCCAATAGACCCTCTTAAAAAGTGGAGAAAAAGGGAAAAAAGTTAAAGAGGAAGCTGATGTTTTGAAAAAAGGGGAAAACCCCTTTGGGTGAAATCTAAGAAAACTTGACGAAGTGGCAAAAACAAACTTCAGGATCCCCCCCATTTAAAACCGGGGGGTTGGCTCCCCATAAATTTTTTGGCTGTGATCGGGGGGTTTAAAGGGAAAAAGTTCAACTAAAAAGGAAAAAGGCTTGGTTTGATATCATCAATCATGTCTTACTATGATTTACCAAATTAGTATAGGAACCTGAACACAAAAACCCCTAATAAAAAATTAATAAAATAATTTTTGTCGCCCATGACCTTAAAATTTTGGTTGATTTTAAATTTGGGGAAAAACTATTCAGACTAAAATTTAAAAACAAGAATTCCTCAAGGGAAAAATATTTTTTTGGGCCCTCCCTTAAACCCTTTTGATAAATTTTTTTGTTCATTTTTTTGGGTTTTGTTTTTAAAATTTTAAAAACATTATAACTACTGTGTCTGTTTTTTTTAAAAAGTCAAACCCGTATAGAAAAACCCAGAAATTTAAATATGGTTAGAATAATAAAGAAAAAACATTTTTCCCATTTTTTTTGGATTTTTTTAACCCCCCAAATATGATCCCCAGCACTATTAGGGGAAAATTTGGCGATGTCAATTAAAAAGTATAAAATTTTTTAATGAAATTTTGGGTTTTAAACATTTATTTGACCTGCCCATTTAGGGGAATTTGATTGAAAGAAAAAAAAATTTAAGTAAAAAAATTTTTTAATAAATATGGCAAATACACGATAAACTTTAGATATAAAAACCCCCAAAAATTGAGCTTTAAAAAAAAACCTTTGACTAATATTTAAAATTTTGGTTGTTTTTCTTTTTCTTGTTTTTAAAAATTATAACCATGCGCTAAAAATTATTAAAATGTTAATTTTTATTAAACAAAATTATTTATAAAGGTTTTAAAATTGCCCAACCCCCTTTTTCCCTTTTTTTAACCCTTTTTTTTAACCAGCATCAGACAATGACAAAGGCGAAGGAAAATTTTATCTTTTATACACTGAAATTTTAAATTTATTAGTTTTAAAGAAAAAACCCGCAAATCGAACGAGAAACAATTTAAAAACTGTAAAGTTCATTTATAAATTATGAGACCCAATTTTTTTATTTCATTAAAATCAAAAAAATTTTTCTTATCCGACAAAAATTTCCCAAAAGTAAAATAGCAGCGTTTGGTTAAATAAAAAACTCCCCACAAACTGTTGTTTAAACAAGCTTCCCGTGCCCCAAAACCTCTACACAGTTTAAAATATTGTCATAAAAATGTCCGTAATATGATGAAAAAAGCCAAACTTAATTTTGGACCTATTAAAAAAAAAGATATTGAAATTTGGCAACCCACTAAATTTTGTCGGGTAAGAAATATCGAAAAATTTTAAAACTTAATTTTTGTTAAAAATTTCCCGTGATGTTGTCTTGAGTTAAAGTAAATAATTTTAAGGGAAAGGCTCCAATTTATAAGTAAAAGCAAAAAAGTGACCCCCAAAATTTCCAGTTCCCTGTCCGCAAAAAAACCCAAATTTTCGGGCATTAATGGCAATCCGTTCAGATCCCCCAGGCCAAAAACCCTTCCCCTTTTTCCCCTTTTTTTAAATTTGTTGAACACCCGTTCCCCTTAAATTTAGGGTTCCCTCTTTTTCATCAGGCCCTCTTGGAGGGTCTCCCCTTGAAAACCCAACAACAGAGGGGCTCTGGGGACGAGAGGTATGGGTGGAGGCCCCAACAGGGGAAAAAACCCACCTTTGTCATCCCCTTGTGTCATCAGGAGTGGGGGTTCACTGAAACTTGGGTTTTTAATTTTTGCCAAAAACCCGAAAGGACAAACCGCCCCCCATCCTCTGGTGACTTGGCCCTTTTGGTCCCCCCTGCCGGCCTGGAGCAGGAGCTGTGGAAGAGAGGAAAGGGCTTTTTGAGGGGGTTCCCGGGGGGAAGGGGGGAAAGTCACGTGTGGGGGGCGGGTCACAAAAGGGGCCATTTTCCTTTTGAGCTCCGGGGGGCCAAATTTTTCCGGCCCGCCTGAGGTTTTGTTGTTGTTTTTTTTATTAATCTCAAACGATCAAATCATGCTGCATCGAAAGGGGTTTTAAAATTTAAATTATTTTGCATTTTCCTTTAAAAATTTAAAAGGAAAACGAATCAAAATTTTACTTTTTAAACAAAAATTTTAATTTTTTTGAATTTGAAATAATTAAAAACCCCTTTGAAGGCCCCGAAGGTGGGTTAAATGCAAAAATTGAACCCCCCCTTTTAAAATTTTTTTAAATTTAAAATTTATTTGTGATATTTGAAAGTTTTTCCCTGTCTTTTTGCCACGAAGAGAGGGTTTCGGAGTTGCGTCTGGGCTTTTGCCCATTTCTTTTCAGAAAAATTAAACCCTCTTTCATTTTTAACCTTCCCTAGCTCTGTTCTTTTGCTTTTAGCTCCCCCTCCTCTCGAAACCTCCCCAAATTAAAAAGTTAAAATTTTTAAAGAAAACCGGGGAAAATTTTAGAATCAAAAAGTTCCCCTTTTTAATTTGTAAGACTGAAGAAAGTTGCCCCTTTTTGGGGGACCTAATTGGGGCCCAATTTACCGGATGGGAGTTGTTTCTTTTCCCCTCACCTTGATCAGCAATGTTCTCCTCCCTGAACCAGGCACTTTACAGGGGAAAATCCCCCCCAAAATTTCCGGGAGTTGCGGCGGTAGTACTTAGAAATTTAACCCCACCCCCGGGGACACGGGGGACCTGTGGCGGGTTGGCCCCGGGAATCCACTTTTCCGGGGGGGCACTTTTTATAAAAACCAAGGTTTGACGTTTTTTTTTCCTGTTGTCCCATTTATTTTGGGACAGAAAGAGATTTTTAAAAAAAATGTTTTGGGTTTTCTTGGTTTACGCCCGGAGGGAAGTTTTCCAATGGTGAAAAATGGGGG